GGATCTCTGATCCCAGCTAGGACTTCAGTCTCCTAACCTGGCCCCCTCTTCCCCACTCCACCCCTGAGAAACGTTGTAAAAGGTCCTGGCGGCTGGAAGTGATTAGTGCTGCGTGGGTCGGTGGCGCAACACTTGAGAGTTGCGCTTGGGAGGACCCAGCCTGGCAGAGAGACTGCAACCGGGAATAATGAGGATGCCAGGAGGAAGCAAGTACAGGTGAATGGGTCCGAGGCTGTCCCACCTGACAAATTTAGAACACAAAGAGAAGCTGCCGGGAGACCCGGCCGGCCGGCCCGCAGAAGAGAAGACTGAGGGAACTCTGAGCTGGTGCAAATGCCCAGGAGGGGTATTTGTCAGTGAGGCCTGGCAAAACCAGTCGATTTTGTCTGTCTTTTCTTTCTTTTTATTAAGCTCCCATAGTTCAGGTATGTATGGTTTCTCTAGCCTGCAGAGGCTCAGAAACTTTCACTCCCCATAGAAGAGAGACTTGAAGGGCAGACTTCACAGACCCAACTGGATCATGGGACAGGCATTCCTGACAATCCAGGTGCTAATTGTGAGGCCTGGATTAAATACTCATTCCTGTTTAATCTGGGTCCTGTTTATCTCCCTTCTCTCCCACACCTGTTCTGGTCCTGGGCTCATACCTGGGTAAGCACCCACAGCCCTCCTGTGTAGGAAGAAGGCAGCTCAGAAACAGCGGGACTTCAATAGTGGAGGCCCAGCAAGATATGAGTTTTGTTCCTACATTTCACCCCAAACAGCTGGAGGATTCACAGCCCAGAGGCAGGGAAGCCCTGCCACTCCTGAGGATCTTGCTTCTTTGCTGCCCAAGGAAGTCAGAAACTGATACGCTTCTAGTTTTTTAAAACAGTGCCGTGAAGAAGCAGGCCAGTCCTCCTGGACTGTCCATTATGTCACTTTCCTTGTAGACCGCTGTATCTCCCACCATCTGTGCAGTGTCCACCTGTCTATTCCCTGGGGCAACTGCAGCATGCAGCTTGGGTTCCCTAAGCAGGGCTTAGGAAATCCAAGGCAGCTGGGCCAAAGACTCCCTGACAGAGATGAAAAGGCACCTTGATAGGGTCTTCTGGGTAAAGGCCTTACTCCAACGACCCCCTCCACCACCCATAACATTCACATAACACCCTCCTGGAAAGCTGAGCAACACACTTAAAGTCTGATGGGCCATTGCTGGATCAAAGAGCAGAGCCAGGCGGCTGCAGTGGAAAGCTGAGCTGCCTCAGGACCTTGTTAAATGGTTATTAATGGTGAGGGTCAGGGGAGGGCCTGGAGAGATCTCTGGGCTATGGGCCTCAGCCCTGGAAACCATCCTAGTGGTTTCACTTAATGTGCAATAAAGCAGCTCCCTGGAGGCAGCAGGAACTGCCCCACTGCATCCCAGGCATGTCACCAAGCAGACACTGCAACCTTCACTCATTCATCCTCTATGTGGCTTTGTGTCTGTCTCTACCTCTGCTCTCAATTACTTGTGTGTGTCTATGAGGAGTGTAGAGCTCTTCTGATGGGCCTTTGCTACCCCTTCCATCTCTCCCGCCTAGTTCTCCCCTCTGTAGCTGGGCTCAGGTACTGGGATTGGACAGCCCGCAAACATGCGTTTGGGGGAGGAGATGGAAGTGGAGACTAGCAAAGAGAGGAGGGGCCCCGGAGATCAGAGGCCCCACTAAGGTCGTCATAGTGGCCAGGAACTAGTCCAGGGGATCTTGGGGCCACAGAAGGGAATTTTCCCAGTGAAGTATCTGGAATTTGAGCTGGGGCGAAACCGGATCCACAGAGGAGGGTAGGAGGAGGGTGAGTGATTAATGAGGAAGATTAAGAGATTAAACCTCTTTCTGGGTTGGGGAGGGTACACTCAGCTGTCTCAAAGGCTACCCCCCACACCAGCTTGGAAGCCCAAGCACGGAAGCTACCGGGTGCTTGCTTCTTACCACCCACGGGTGGAACCCTCTCTGTTCAAGACCCTTCCCAAGCGATGCATGGAGGCCTTCACCACTGCCCACGACGGGTCCGAAGGGTTTTCCTTCCCTGTCATTCTCAGGCAATCTCTTGTGTTTCCCACCTTCTCAAATTCCTTTTATGGTCCCTTCAGACAATTCAGGAGTCCTGCACTCCCTCCCCTTGTAGAGATCCCCACATTTCAAATTCGCTGTCTTTGGAAGGCACCCCATTCTCGCTTAAGAAGGCTTCCTCACACTTCCCCTTCAGATTACCCATTTTCACCCCGCAGCCCCACCCCCACCTTATCTTGCATCCACCACACCCCATCGGCGGGTTCCTCCACCCCAGGCCGCCCCCGCTAGACCCCCGTTCCCCACTAGTGGCAAGAAGGCCAGCTCAATAAACGACCTTTAGTCTCGGATTGCCCGCCCCGGACATTCCACTGAATTCTGTGAATGTGTAGGAGGGTTGGAGGACCCTCAGAATGACCCCCTTCGGGCGGTGGACGAGGACAATCTCAGCGAAGAGTTGGCCCCCCTCCTCCCCACCCTCAGGAGAGGTCCGTGAACCAGGGTGAGAGGGAAGTGGGAGTTCAGGAAGGAAAGTCCAGGCGGAGGGGCGTGAGGCGGGGCGTCTGTCCGTCTGGCACACTTCTGGGGTTGTTTTCTTTTTCAGAAAGTGCTATTGCGGAGTGAACCGATCCAGACACTTATATTTTAGCTTCGTGACTTTGGGGGCGGCAGGCCTGTGAGTTGTTTTCGGCCCTGGACGCTGTTTTGCGAAGATCTCTGCGCGCCCAAGGCCACCCACCCCGGGCGCACAGGTGGGGAAGCAGCCAGCGGTGGGAAACTCCTACGCTCTCCCCCACACTCTTTCCTCCTACTCCCCAAGACTCACTTCTAGGGAAGTCCTTTTCCCCATCAAGCCCCGGGAAAGACGGGCCGGGCTGAAAGAGCGACCCGTCCACCTCTGTGCCAAAGGCAAGAGGAAATCCTAGTGCCGTCGCCTTTGGGTATGAGTCCTGGAAATGGCGGGGGTGAGGAAGGTGGGCAGGGGCAAGGTTTGGTCCCCAGGGGAGAACGGACTCCTCCCGGAAGCGCAGCACAGCCGAGCGTGCCTGGGAGGGCAGACGGCACCCTGGGGTGTTCCTGCCGCTGCCTCTCCTAGGACTCCGGAGCGCCGAGCCGCGTCCGGGCGCATTCTCAGTCGCGCGAAGCCAGAGAGAACCCTGGGCGCGATTCTCCCTCCCTGGCACAGATGGATACCCGAGTGACCCCAGCGTCCGGGTGGGCGTGGGGAATGGACCCAAAGGCCTGGGACTCGCAGCGCGGAGCCCGCAGCTGGCCAGCTTCAGCCACCTCGGGAGACGCAGCGCAGCTGCCGCCGCTGACAGACAACATCAAGACTCGGCTGGGCCCCACCCCAGATCCCGCCTGAGCGCCTTCGGCGCTGCTCGGCCTCAAGGCGTGTGTCACCAAGGGCCTCGTCCCTTGACTTGGTCCTCACGGTCTCCGGCCTCCGGCCCATCATTCTTCAGACCCCGCCTTTTCGACGCCGAGCTGCCGCCCAGCCTCAGCGGCAGCGCCTTCGCGGAGATCTAGTCCGACTGTACAACTCCCGCCGTTGCTCAGCCCCAGCAAAGCCCCCGGGAGGGTTTCTACTTTCCCCCGAGCCCAAGCCACTCCCCTGTCACTCCTAGGAAACTCCTTTTTGCCCAAAAACTCCTGGAGAAAAGCCCCGGGCGTCACGTACGCCCGGACCGCGAAGCCCATAAAGCTTCAATTCAGAGGAAAGGGAATGGGGAGCACTAGGCTGGGGTGTTCCTGGAGGAGGTCGGGGAGGGGGTTAGTGGAGGAGACGCATTCCAGGCTGGAGGCTTGGAAACGTTTGGAAGAATCGTACCCAGGCCGTCTGTCCGCGGCGTCCCTACCCGGGTCCCCATCAGTGCCCCACGCACTCTAACTCTTCCTCAGCGTCTGTAGCCTCTTCATCCACCTGGAGAGGCGAAGGTCTCCGGAAACCGAGTCCGACTATGGCACCCCAGAGCGTCCAATGCGAGCTCAGGTCCTTCCCCCGAGTCTGGAGTTTTCTTATCCAGCTGAGGCCGCCCTCGCTGTACCCACTCCCTGGCTGCCTCCCTGTCCTCTGCCACCCGGTGATTAGCGCCTTCAGCCCTCACCAGCTTCGCATAACCAACCCCTAGAGGCCGTGGAGTCAGACAGGCTGGGGTGGGACATAGGTTTTTAACTCGGATTCTGTCTACACACATGCTATGCCTCCATACAGTTTGTCCCAGATTTGGCAGATGGCGGGCTACCTTCAGTAACTCTTTGCTTTGGTATGTCTGTTCCTGTCCTAGTTGGGCAAGTTTCTAGCTAACCCAATGACAGAACCGTAGAACAAGGACGCTGGCATGGCATACAGACAAGGAATGTTAGCGGATTAATCAATGGAGTTGGTGCTTTGCAGCTTCCCTCTTATTCCTTGAAGTTGCCCTTGCTTTCCTCCTCAGCTACCCATTTCCCACCCTGGCTTCTAGTCTCAGTCACCAAGTACTTGCTGAATCCTGTAGGGACAGCCAGGCCTCCATTTCTGACAATCCCTGTGGCCCCACCCCACTTGTGTTTTTGACTTCTCCCTCTTTTTGTCTCTATCCCCCCGCCCAAGTTATAACACTATAGTACAATTCTTTGGATTTTTCTTTAAAATTTCACACTTCTTCAATCCTACAGCAGCCACTGTCCAACTCTAGCCTTCTCACCACTGTTGAATTAGGACACCTCCTCAGAGGCCCACACGGTACGCTGCAGCATACAAGGACAGCTGAGAGCTCCCCTCTAGGGAGCTTTCCCATCATCAGAAAGAGTGGCGTGGGTGGCCTGGTTTCACACATATAGGGATCCTCTACCCTGCTCCTTTGGCAAGACATTGAGGGCCCATGGCCATGGAAGACAAGCCCTTCTTCACTACGAAACGCAGAGGATTTTTGAGGAAGGCAGGACACATCATAAGTGTGAGGTAGGAAGAATAAGGAAGAGAGATGCTTTTTAAAAGTTTTTATTTCAAAAAATAAAGCTGCAGTTCATTTCACATAAATATCTGGGGAGGGAAGGGCAGTAGAATGGGGTAGGGACTTAGCCCCTACCTCCTCTTCTCTTTCACACTGTATTGTAAAACCAAAGGGGAAGGCTAAGGAGAGAATGAGGAAATAGTAGTCAGTGGGGAGTGTTCTTATATTATCCAAAGGGCCCCTCAGTCCACCCTTCCCCTGGGGACTGCAGGTTGGTTGGGGGTAATTTGAACGCGGGGGTGGGGAGGGTGGCATGGCTCACCTTGCCGAACCAGCGGGAGAGCCATATCTGCTTCATTGTCATGTGATCAGGGAGAACTTCATTGTCAAAAAGGAGCTGCACCTAGGAGGGACATGGGGGCATAATTTTAGGAACTTTCTGGCAGGTCAAAAACTACCCTGGTCCACCCTAGACTCTGTCCCTCCTTTCTTAGCCTCTTTTTCCCCCAAAAAGCTTACTGTGGGACTACTCACATGCTGAGGGTTTAGCATCAAGCGGTGACACAGGACCCTCCGGAGATGGCGTACCTCAGCTCTAACAGAACATCGGACATACTTGTTCTGGGAGCAGGGAGGGGAGGGAAGAGGGCAAGATGTGTGAGGGAGGGGCCATAGGAGGTGAGTCTCCTTAGAGAGGCCCTCCCCTCAGCCCTTCTCACCTGCAGGATGCTTTTATTCTTGTCTTTGCCAGAACTGGGGGGAAACAGACACAGGTTAGGGAACTCTATCTTTCCTCCTCTCCCACTCCCAGAGCCATGATATACTCTCTTCAAGGGGATAGGATTCCTCACTGCTTAGCCTCTCCCCCAGACCCTTCCTGGCTCTGGGCCATTGGCACTGTCACCTCCTGCAACCCCTGATCTGGTCCTCACCTCAGCCGTTCCAGGCACAGGCTCAGCTGCTCATCATAGCGATAGTAGTGGGCTTTAGAGTGGTCGAAGCTGCTGAAGGGGAGGCCGAGGTTGCTCAGTGCTGGCTCTGAGAAAGATAGGGTACTGAAGTGGCTGGTGGCACATATTCCATACCCCTCTTTCCACAGAGAGCAAAACTGGGCAAGAAGAATAGTCTGGGGGCTTTGCCCTCCCGCGGCTAAGGACATACCTTCCCCACTGGGCTGGGTGACCCGGTCCAAACCTCGAGACTGGTAGAATTCCCGAATCCGTTTCTCTTCACCTAAAAGAAGGTGAAGTATGAGAATAAAGTATTAGCCCTCCCTCACTCTTTGTCCTTCCCTCATCTTTGGCCTTCTGCCTACATGATTCCCACCAAAGGCCCTGTCACCTCAAGCTGCCACTCAGCAATTAGTCCTCATGAGGCCCCTCAAAGTCAGGTTGGTCACTCACTGTCTTGCAAACCAGGCACCAGCTTGTACACGATGTCTTGCATGACCCGGTCCAGTTTGAGGTTGAGCAGTGGCTGTGTCTCGTGGATCTTGATGTTGCACATGGGGCAGTACTTGCTAGTTTGAAGGTACTTCACAATACAACTCTTGCAGACTGCAGGAAGAGAAAAGCAGATTCTCATGCCCTCTGGAAACTGGATTCACGGGCTGGGTGGGGTGCCTGGATGCGTGGGGCAGGCCGCACAGAAGCTGGCAGTCAGGCTGGTGAAGACTAGGGACCGGAAGAACTAGGCAGTCTCCAAGGCACTCACAAGTATGAAGACACTCTGTGATGGTGGTGGCATCCACGAAGTAGCCGGCACATAGGCAGCAAACGATGTGTTCATTCAAGTCTTTGATCTTCACTCGAACCTCCTCCTGAAGATACACCCTCCGTCACCAATCATCCACCCTCTACCGCCAACCCGTGCGCCTTCCCACCCTGGGGGTCTCCTTTTTCATCACACTCCACGGCCAAGCCCCGCACCCTGAGCCCTCAGCCGGGAATTGGCTCCTGGGGGCTGGCACTCCTCCTCCGCCCAGCAGAGGGCTCCGCGCACAGCGGGGGCTTCCCTCACGTGGACTCGCCTGGCCCTCCTTTCCCAGGGGAGACTACACGACGTCGGCTACACAATGCGCAGGCGTCCTAACTGGAGTTTGGCAAGCCGACTGCAATCACGCAGGCGCATTGGGCCCTCTGTCTCTGCGCAAGCGCACTGGGCGCCCGGCCAGCCACCGCCCGTCCTCTAGTCCGCCCCAGTTCGCACCGCTGGCCGACCACAGCAGTAACCCTGCCGCCCTTGCACCTCGTTCCGTAGCGGGTCCATCTTGTACACTGACTGGAGCTGGTTCCGAAGCCTCATCGCGATCGCAATCTGGCCCCCCTGAGGAGACGCCATCTTAAAGGCTGATCCCAGCCTGCCACTTCCGGTGCCGCCTGCGGGGCGGGACTTGTCTCCCAGCAACGAGGTTCTAGGTCTTTTCGGATTCGCTCACCCTTTGTAAGGCCCCGCCCACGTCCCTTTCTCCCCGTGTGCTCACCTGAGCCCCACCGGCCCCTCCCCTCCTCAATCGGTAATTAAGGAGTGGGGGGGGAGTATAGGGAAGGGTCCTATCTCTTCAGCCTCCTGTAGGAATCATCATAATGGACCCTATGCGACCTCAAGACTAACTTTTGGAGCCTGCGAAAGACTGCCCCCTCCTACCCCCAAAGGCCCGGCAGTCTGTGCCCGCTACCCGCTCAGGGTCGTCGGTCTTCTGTGACGACGACCCTGCTGACGCCCCTCCTGGGTCCTCTTCTCGTAATGCCGTCCTGTGGGCGTCCGCGTAGCTGAGCTTCACCCAGATGGCGGGCCTTCTCCCGGCTTCGCGGCGGGAGTTTCTCGGGCTTTGCAGAGTCTCGGAGAGGGTGCGGGGGTATGGGGAGGGAGAGACCCCCAGGGACTTGGTAGTGATCTTATCCCCCCATTCTCCCCCTGCTGCCTGGGTTGGGGGGGCAGGCCCTGGTTAATGATGATGATTTAATCATCGGCGCCTGCGGAGGCCTGGGACAGACTAATGCAGAGCAGATGCCGAAGGAGGAGGGGAGGACGACTAGGACACTGCCACACACAGACACGCTTAGGCAGCGAGCGCCTGTAGTAGCATAGGCCCAGTCCCGCACTTAGGGAGGACGTAGAGTGCTCTAGAGCTTACACCGCTGGCCCTGGGTATTTAAAAAAGAATAAATTTGTTACGAGTTATTAACAGCAAATGCAACTGGAGATTCGAGAAGGGAGAGATTCCCATGGAGACCTCAAAAAGACTTTCTGGAGAAAGTGGGACTTTGGGCACAATTTAGACTTGGGGAAGGGGTGGAAGTGCGGTTGAACAGAAAAGAAAGGACGTGGAGGGGAATGACCAGAGGACAGGAAAGAGGCCAAGATGTAGATTTGAGAATGGTGATAGAAAAAACAGGGCTGTAAAGAGTTGTGATTTTTAGCCTGAGGGCAATTGAGAGCTAGGGGACTTTTTTGAAGGGAGGAGGTTATCCTGTGACAGGGACATTTTTGTTCACTTCAGAGTGAATATGCAGCAAGAAGTTACGAGATTAGTGATTAATGAACTATTCTTTACAACCACTATTTACCTACTTCCCTGGTCCAAGCCACTATATTCTCTGATTGTAGTGGTTTCTTGACTGTTTTCCTTGAGTCCCCCTTCACCTGTTCTCAACATAACAGCTCAGTGCTATGTTTCTCAGTGCTGGTGATTCTGATAAAACATGGAACACAAAGGACACAGGACAATTTTTGAGGTGTGGAAATGTTTATTATTTATTTGAGACAGGGTTTCTCGTTGCCCAGGTTGGGGTGCAATGGTATGATCTTGGCTAACTGCAGCCTCTGCCTCCCAGGTTCAAGTGACCCTCCTGCCTCAGCCTCCCGAGTACCTGGGATTACAGGCACCCACCACTACACCCGGCTAATTTTTTTTTTTTTTTTTTGAGAGGGAGTTTCGCTCTTGTTACCCAGGCTGGAATGCAATGGCGCGATCTCGGCTCACCACAACCTCCGCCTCCTGGGTTCAAGCAATTCTCCTGCCTCAGCCTCCTATCTGGAATTACAGGCACCCACCACTACCCCTGGCTAATTTTGTATTTTTAGTAGAAACAGTGTTTCACCATGTTGGGCAGGCTGATCTCGAGCTCCTGACCTTGTGATCCACCTGCCTCAGCCTCCCAAAGTGCTGGGATTACAGGCGTGAGCCACTGCGCCCAGCCACACCGGGCTAATTTTGTATTTTTAGTAGAGAAAGAATTTCTCCATGTTGGTCAGGCTAGTCTGGAACTCCCAACCATAGGTGATCCACCTGCCTCAGCCTCCCAAAGTGCTGGGATTACAGGCGTGAGCCACCGTGTCTGGCCATGTTGGTTTCATGGGTATATACATATGTATATTTATATATATCCATGATGGTTTCATGAGTATATACATATGTCAAAACTTATCAAAGTGTACACTTCAAATATCTGCTGTTTATATGTCTATTATACCTCAAGAAAGCTATTAAAAGGTTGAAAAATTAGGTTGTTTCTTTTTACTGTTTAAAACCAGTTGAGAGCTTCCCTTTTCAATCAGAATAAAAGTCAGTCTTACAGTCTTAGATACACCAAGATATTCTTCCACTATCTCCCCAACTTGAAATGCTTAGGTATCCAAAATGGCTCCCTCTTCTTCTTTTAGGTCTTTACTCATGAGGCTTCTGTGATCACTCTAGATGAATAACAACTCACCACCCCTTTTACTTCCTTGATTTTTTTTTGGTTAGCATTTATTAGCATTCTTAGCATCTATTATTATTTAATATACATTTATAATATATTAGAAATATTTTCTAGTTATTTTCTGAAAATATTTTCTAGAAAATATATTTCGTTTTTTTTTTGTTTTTGTTTTTGTTTTTTTTTTGAGATGGAGTCTCGTTCTGTCTCCCTGGCTGGAGTGCAGTGGGCAGTGGTGTGATCTAGGCTCCCTGCCACCTCTGCCTCCCAGGTTCAAGCGATCCTCCTGCCTCAATCTCCTGAGTAGCTGGGATTACAAGCAGATACCACCACACCTGGCTAATTTTTGTATTTTTAGTAGAGACGGGGTTTCAGCATGCTGGCCAGGCTGGTCTTGAACTCCTGACCTCGTGATCCACCCACCTAGGCCTCCCAAAGTGCTGGGATTACAGGAGTGAGCTGCTGCGCCCAGCCTATAGTTCCTTGTTTTTAATCTGCCTTTTCCACTAGAATATAAGCCTCTCAGTGGCAGGGATTGTTTTCCTCTGTTGTGTTCACAGATATAGCTCCAGTGCCAGGTGCATAGTAAGTGTTCAATTAAAATTTTCTAGATGAATGTGTGAATGAATCCAAGTGGTGGTGCTGACAGCCTCAATTAGGGTTTTAGCAATGTCAATAGAAAGGAAGGGCTGTATCTGAAACATTTCAAAGGAAAGTGTAATAGGAGGAAGTAGCCAGGAACCTGGCTTGGTAGGCCTGGGCAAGAGAGTGAATGAAGAGCTTTGGAGGGAAGCTTGTCCTCCAGCCTGCTGGACTTAAGGTGGCTGCAGGGAAGTAGGGGGAGCTGGTCAGAAGGCTAGGAGAGTGAGTGGTGGGGCTGAAGTGTCAGAACCAGGGATGGAGGTCTCAGAGTTATTTGGCTGGATATGAGAGTTGGGACTTCTGGAATGGGTGAAACTTGAGCAGATGTAGAGATAAAGAAAGTTCATGCCTGTAATTCCAACACTTTGGGAGGCTGAGGTGGGTGGATACTGGAGTCCAGGAGTTGGAGACCAGCCTGGGCAACATGGTGGGACTCCATCTCTACAAAAAGTACAAAAATTAGTCTGGCGTGGTGGTATGTGTCTGTAGTCCCAGCTAGTTGGGAGGCTGAGGTGGGAGGATCACTTGAGGCAGCAGTGAACTGTGGGAGGTTGAGGTTGCAGTGAACCGTGATCGTGCTGCTGCATGCCTGAGTGACAGAGTGAGATCATGTCTCTCTTTTTTTTTACTTTTTCTTCTTCTTTTTTTTTTTCTTTTTGAGGTGCTTTTGTGTAAAAGATCCTGTCTCTTTAAAAAAAAAAAAAAAGAAAAAGAAGAAAGAAAGCTTAAGTCTGAGCTCTGAAGAATCCTCACAGTCTTCAGTGGAAGAAGCAAAATCAGTGGAGGAAAGATATAAGTGTGACTAAGATGTGGAATAAGATAATATTACAAAAGCCAAAGGAAGGGACACTTTAAGAAATGGTTGATGATCAACAAAGTAAAACATGTCAGGGAAGTCCTAGACGAGGGATACTGAACAGGAGCTCTCTGAGGAAGGGTTACTACAGTGAGGGCAGCTTGCACTGGGTTAAAAAAAAGACTAAATGATGAGGAAATGGAGGCAGTAGGCATGAGCAATAACAAGGAAACAAAAAGCATGATCTCTCTTGAAGAGTCAGGCAAAGATTTGTCCAGATGATAAAGATCTGAGACAGCTGAGGTAGGAAAGACTAAGTTGATGAGAGCCACGGACACACAGGACATGGTGAGACAGATCCAAAGCAATATGCACGAGCGGGTACTCATCACAGCACCTCTATCTTCAACATAAACCAGCAGCAATCATCATTTCCCTGTGAATCAGAGACATGGAGGCAAGAAAGGACATTTCAAGCCAGGTTGGGGTGGTGGTGCACACCTATAACTCCAGATACTGAGGAGGCCAAGGTGGGAAGATTGTTTGAGCCCAGGAGTTTGAGGCCAGCCAGCCTGGGCAACATAGTGACACTCTGCCTCTTAAAAAAGGAGAAAGTCCTAAGACTGTGGTCTGGCTGACATAACTGGATACCATCTGTTCTTGAAGTGGAGCACTAAAATATTTTTAAAACTCTCCAGAATACTTGTATGAACTACTGAGTTTGTGACCATTCTCCTTAAATGATTAGTTGGACAGTCTCTGGCTGATAGTATCATCTATGCTGACCTCAAAAGGTGGCGGTGTACGGGTCTGCATGACGTTGCCTTTTTTTTCATTTATTGATTCATTCATTGATCATTCAAGGAGGTTTTATTTAGGTTGGCTGGAGACACACTGGTTATCCTCCCGCCTCCTCCTCCTCCCCTGCCCCGGCCCCCGGACTCACCCTTCAGAGCAGAGAAGGACTAGCAAACTTCTAACCTGTACACCAGTCCCCTTCAGAGACTATATTTCTTTGCTATCTCCCTTGTTCCCATCCGGGGGAATCAGCCCTTGCTATCAAGGAAGATTTTTTTCGTTTGTTTGTTTTTTGTTTGCAATGGAGTCTTGCTCTGTCTCCCAGGCTAGAGTGCAGTGGTGATCTCGGCTCACTGAAACCGCCTCCCAGGTTCAAGTGATTCTCCTGCCTCAGCCTCCCCAGCAGCTGGTTAGGTGCCTGCCACCATGCCCGGCTAATTTTTTTGTATTTTTAGTAGAGATGGGGTTTCACCATATTGGCCAGGCTGGTCTTGAACTCCTGACCTCAGGTGATCCGCCCCCACTTGGCCTTCTAAAGTGCTGGGATTTTTAGGCATGAGCCACCATGCCTGGCCTGAAGAGTTTGACTAAACAGGTTCCTGCTTCCTTGCAGCCCTCTCAACTGGTGAGAAAGGTGCATGGTTTTCTGTAAAGGGATGGGGAGGTGATAATGTGTGTCTTCTCCATCAACGTGAATTGATGCTAAATTGATAGGAGCCCCCAACATCTTTCAGAATGGGCTGTGAGTAGGGGCTGAGGAGGAACTGGACAAATTGGATAGTAGAGGTGGTCAAGGTGGGGGAGGTTGACACATATTAATGCCCACTGTTCCCCTCACTGCCTCCTGTCCCATTTATGGTTCATGTACTCTAGACATAAGGCTTCTAACAACACTGGCATGCTGGTGGAGAGAGCTCACTCTTCTTTCTCTTCCTGCCCAGATGCCCAAATATTCCTGGTTCCCAGGGGAGAAAAGACCCCCTCACCCTGCCCCAGGCACCAGGCTGCCAGCCCATCTGCTGGGAAGAAAGGAGGGGGCAGAGTCTTTCCCATGGGATCCTGGAGAATCAGTTTGAAGAGCAGTGCTTTCAGGGAGATCCAACTACTAGACTTACAAGGCGTTTCGGTTCACACGGGAAACCAGCAGGATGGAGCTGAGCATGGGGTGGGCTGGGGACCAGGGTAGAGGGCTCACACAGCCGGGTACCTTTGGCCACCAAGTGTCGGAGGTAGGCTAGCTGCTCGTTGGTGCCCACCCGCCACCGCAGGATGGTAGAAGCGCCCCCCTCTCTGA